ATTGTTTGTGGCACAAGCAACACGTCATACAACACACCCACACATACAACATAAACTGACATACAACATACGCAGACATTCAACATGCGCACACATACAACGTGCATACACAAGGAGCGTGCATGGACGCATGCACACGCGTCCAAAAATAATGTTTACAAAACTACAAAATGTTTCGCTGCAACATGAGAGCCGAAGTTCATTTCCTTCCCTCACATGTGGGCTACTTTCCAGAAACTCTTGAAGCTGCACGTGAAGAACAAGGATAGCATTTTCAACAAAATGTAGAAGAAGAGGAGTGCAGATACCAAGGTAAATGGAATATTAATGTTAGCAGACTACGTTCTATTTTACAATGAAAAAATTTACAAAAATAGAATATTAATATGTTAGCAGACTAAGTTCTATTTTCCAAATAGAAAAAAATTATAAATAAAAAAAAGGAATCACAGCCGAAAAAGCACCAAAATAAGCTTTGATGAAAAAAAATATACAACATACGCAGCCATACAACATATACAGACATACAACATACGCAGCCATACAACATATACAGACATACAACATACGCAGCCATACAACATACGCAGCCATACAACATACGCAGCCATACAACATACGCAGCCATACAACATACGCAGCCATACAACATATACAGACATACAACACACACACGCCAAGCCAGCGCAAGAGAACCTCCCCATAGATGAACGTTTGTGGATTAGGACACAGTTTGTGAAAGTATAAAACAAAGAAAGAGAGTTTAAAGTGTTCTCGTGAGAAGTATCCTGGTCAATCTGATGTTAAAATGAAAGAGGGAGTCTTTGTTGAGCCTCACATAAGAAAAATGTTGAAAAATTAAATCTTTGTCACTAAAATGGAAGAAAAAAATTCTATGAATTCATATAAAGTAAATCTAGCAGGCTTTTTAGGAAACAAGAAAGACCCAGACTATAAAGCTCTGACGGCTGAATGATTAGAAAACTACAAAATGTTGCGCTGCAACATGAGTGTCGAAGATCATTTCCTTCACTTTCATGTGGAAAACTTTCCAGAAAATCTCGGAGCTGTAAGTGAGGAACAAGGATAGCATTTTTATCAAAATGTAGAAGAAAATGAGAGCAGATACCAAGGTAAATGGAATATTAAATGTGAGCAGACTTGTTCTACGGTATTTTACAAATGAAAAAAAAAAAAGAAATCACAGCCGAAAAAGCACCAAAATAAGCTTTGATGAAAAAAAAAAGTTTTTACAAAGACTTATTATAACTTCGAAACACATATGTATCACTACACTCCTTGCTTCAGCTACATATTGTTGAGTGTTTTGCCCACGTCAAGTTAAAATAATATGAGGTCATCAAAATTGTTCAGTTTTTAGTGATTTTTTCGAACTTGTTTTGTTGGCAAGTCTTAAGTGATGGAACAAAACCTATATAATTTTCGAAATCAACGGAAAAAAACTACATGCCGATCCCTTAACAAAATCAAAACAATTTTTATAAGACTTATTTTTGCAGGTTTGCATAATCACAACTCCACCATTCACCCGTTACACTCATCCATCATTTATTCATCCACTAGAGGGCCTGGGCCCATACTTTCAAAAAAAGTTAAGAGATCGTAAGTTCATCAGCCAATCATTGACGGCCTTTCAAGCAAAATCCACCAATCATAGGCAAGAAAATAGAGCGTAAGTACCTACGTTCACTTAGCGAGTTTTGAGAGTATGGCCCCTGATGTCTCTTCACACGACAGCTCATCATCATTAAACCTCACTACAGAACAGTGATTATCGATATGATGTCGCACAAGTATTGGACACCTCATATCATAATTCTATATTAAAATATAACGTCAATAAGAAAGCAAATGTAGCAACAACTACGGTGATACATAACACATGAGGCCGTGGAGGTGTTACAGTGTTAGAGAACTGATAAAGCTCCATTGTTCGCGGCAAGTTCATCGTGAAAGAAAGAACAGTACACATTTATAGGTAAAGTTGACGCACAACCTTATTTACTATAGGCCAATACTTATTGTCTACTTAAGTAGACAATAACAGAGTTATTAGTCGTGAAATAATTCAAGCAGAACATATTAATCTGTGCCACCGCATTTGGAACTCACTCCACGCTCGATTTTTACCGGAAAAAACATAACAAAACCTACAGCTATCATAGTGATAAATAAATAAAAAAATATACGAGTACAAAAACTATGCTGGAAATACTAATTCTTAAAATTGGCAAATTGTTATTGCATCATCTATTAAAATTATGCCATTACAAAATCCGTTCTAGTAACAATTATGCAGAGTTCTTATTAATCCTGAATTGTATTGATTACATAAGCTTATTTTAATCATTAATGTGTTGCACCATCACGACACACGGCACCATCACGACACACGGCACCATCACGACACACGACACCATCACGACACACGACACCATCACGACACACGGCACCATCACGACACACGGCACCATCACGACACACGGCACCATCACGACACACGACACCATCACGACACACGGCACCATCACGACACACGGCACCATCACGACACACGGCACCATCACGACACACGGCACCATCACGACACACGGCACAATCACGACCACACCTCGGCGAGACGTCATCTGGTAGCTAACGTGAAGCGCAGTAATAAACACAACATTCTTAGATGTTTGATTTACATTCAATAAAATAATGTTTTAACATTTTAATGTATAGAATGTTATTCGTTACAATAGTTATTTATTCGCCGAGCTAAAATAAAGATCGAAGTAAGTAAAAAAATGTTTTTGTCATGTATATGATGATGAATAAATTGCAGTTATAGTTCGAAACTAAAACTTATAATAGTCAACACATTCGGCCCATTACGAATGTAGGAATATTGCCTTCGTACGCACCTTCAGGTCCAGCACACGGCGGATCGGCCAAACGTTGTGACCGGAATTTATTGTCGTCCAACACAGGGCTCTTTTCGATGGTTTTTAAGTCACGTCTGTAACGTCCGACGTCGACGTTCTGATCTAAAGTGACGTTAGTCGGGCGTCTGGAAAAGAAGCACAGGCCTGCTTCATCACGACACACGGCACCATCACGACACACGGCACCATCACGACACACAGCACCATCACGACACACGGCACCATCACGACACACGGCACCATCACGACACACGGCACCATCACGACACACAGATTATTATTTCGGGTATCTATCATTAAGTCCTTACCGTATTTATTCTTCATTACCTAATTATTACTGAGATTGTTTATTCATTTATTGCCTTCATAAAATTTAGAACACGAACGAAGTAAGTAAATAAAATGTTTAATCATGAATGTGATGATGATTAAATTGCAGTTAGAGTTCGAAACTAAAATTTATAATAGTCCACACATTCGGCCCGTTAAGAATGTATGGAATATAGCATGAAAAAAATACAGGTTCCGAGTACTTATGATAATGCGTAAGCTGACATAGTCTATACTCAGAACACATACGCTTGATACGCTATACGCTTGATATGAGGGCTGGTGAGACGCAATGTAGGAGTAAATGCTACGTATATCAATACACTAGCATTAGCTTATGATGCACACATAAAATGTTCTTGTATGTTCATGGCATTTTCTGGCACCAATATCCTGCTCTAAAGGACGTTCAACTTTCGTGAACCGCTAACCAGTTCAACTAATTTGCGTCTTATGTTTCTACAAAATCTAAACCGATAGTAAATGTCGGCTGGCTTTATCCAATCGAATTGGCCTTTATCAAGACTTATTCAACAAAAGTGTTTTCACAAACCAGTTATAAAAAATTAGTTTAAAAAGCACCAACAAAATCACAATATAAAAGACTGTAAGGTATTTATTCCTTATAAATAAAGCAGTGCAGACCGAATTCGAAGACACCTCGAAGAAACCACATCGTTCCTCATCTTTCTGGGATAAAAAGCTATTGTGATCTCGTATTTCAAAGATCACTCATTTCCAAGTATTTTCAATAAAAAAATGTTTAACTTCGACATAAGATTATTGAAAACTTCTGTTTAAACATGGATAAAATTAAAGAAAAAAAAAACAGAATGGAGATTTTCGCGACGGTTAGCATCGTTTGAAAACAGACGAGTCAGCGCTAGAAAAGAATAAGGAGTTTGCAGTGGTCTGTCATAGCGCAGCAAGAAGAGAATAATAATAATAAATTATGAACTGCAAAGTTAATTTTTGTCGGTTCCAATTTTATTGCACGTTTAGAGCAACAGGCGAGAATCGGCACATATATTCGACCACCAACCAGAAATGCTCAGCAGATTGTAAAAAAAAAAAGAAATTCATTATGATTTTCTCGATTGAAATGTACGATTTCACGACCGGCGAAGCAAATATTAAAATAGAACGAGGCGATAGCTGCGGTTGAGACAATGATGCTTACAGATGGAAAATAGGCCGTGATCTCTTGACTAGCACCAAGCGATAGCTCCACTGCAAAGGTCCCTAAGATGACACTATTTCGTCCTCTGGCACACCAAGCAACGATATTTTGACAAAAAGAAGGTCTAATACAGCGCGCAAACTTGTTTATGCGGTGATAATTAAAGAAATAATTGTAGACTGCTGAGAATGAGTTTCAGGGTCAACATAAATTTAAGGATAGGAGACGAAGACGTTTCTACACCAGCGTTTCAACGACATTATCAACAATTTTGCAGGGTCAAAAACAATTATTAATAACGTTTAAGAAGCGAATGTGTAATTGGACTCACTTTAGGACTCAATTCATCAAGATCTCAGTCGTGATCAATTACAAATTAAATCTGCAAGATCTTGAAATACATTCAATTACGACAACCCCGATAACGTTGTTTGTATCACTCAAGAGAAATTCAGACAGAAGAGAGGAATGAGAATTTTAGATTTGTTCACCACCCCGTTGTTTGTATTACTCAAGAGAAATTCAAATAAGAAAGTTGTATTACTCAAGAGAAATTCAAATAAGAGAGAAAGGAGAATTCTATAGATTTGTTCACAGGAGTATATGAGGTGAAGTGTAGGAGCTATCGGCCTCCTTATATCAGCTGCCAGGACCGATCCTGTCGATGTGTCTGTACTTCTTCCTGGTGACGGATACGTTGTCCCTGTACAGCACAGGATCCAGCCGCACCTGTGACACCAGCGCCGGCAGCCGCCCCAGCACTGCGCTGAACGAGTTCAGACATGCGCTCCTCTCTGCGAAGTGGCTCGCCGATGACCACAGGGCGCTGTCAAGGGCACGGTATTAGTAAATGGCTGGTGTTACTTATTGGTCTATATTAGTGAATGAATTAAACTTCATTCCGAGGCGGTCATTAGTCAATACTAGATTAGTCAATACTAGATTAGTCAATACTAGATTAGTCAATACTAGATTAGTCAATACTAGATTAGTCAATACAAGTAAATGAGTTAAATTTCATTACTATACAGTCAATGTGTCTGTGAAAACAGCACCCAGGGCTTAGTGAATATCAACAAAGTGCACATTAATAGCAGTCGTAGCTTAACTGAATCTCACTTCTTCAAACTCAGTAACAAACAATACGACAAGGAAGCAAGATTTTATCAAATTAATCCATACATCTATACCTCACTCACCCTTAGTTCAACAATCTAACATTTATCAAAAACTTAAAAGCAGAGAAAACTCCACAAAAATTAATACAAGTATTTTTAAAGAAAACGTTTCGGAAACGTTTTCTTTACATATAGTATGAATTTTTGTGGAGTTTTCTTAGCTTTTAATTTTTAGTGAATTTGCAATTCAAGCAAACGAGTGATATTATTACTTCTGACACTGCTGTACTAATATCAAGTTTAAATTTATACCTGGAGTTGGATGCTGGGTCTTTGTATTGCTACCTGGAGTTGGACGCTTGGTCTTTGTATTGCTACCTGGAGTTGGACGCCGGGTCTTTGTATTGCTTGCGCTGCGTGAGTTTGATGGGCGGTCGTCTACTGACGGAGGCGACGAGCACCCCCAGGAGCAGGTCGTCGCAGTTACCCGACGCTAGCACGGCCCCCAGCAGCGAGGGGGGCGCGTGGTGCTGGTAGAGGTGCTGGTAGTACCTGTGGTACACTGCTGCTCCTGTCAGTACCAGCGAGTACGAGTTGGACCAAGTGCTTGTGTAGCGGTACACGTCGCTTTGCTGTTGAAAATGTAAATTTCAACAATTCTTGTAAATGAAGCTACAATTACGAACATAATGTGATTATTGGCTGGTTTTAATAGTAAAGCAAACACGGAAAACTCGGTACATGGGAATCTTTGCCAACCAAACTTTTGTACAGACTATCATCAATTATTGTACTAACGTTATCTTCTGGTTTATAATTTCCCAATACGGTATTGAATATGTAGGTTCAAATGCTCATTCAATTTCAATGTCATCATTTAAGATCTAAATAATTGAGGTTTAAAGTTCGGCTATCAACATGATATTCAAATGCAGGAGTCTGCCATGCACGTTGAATATCATAGAAGTTACGAAAGAAGAAAAAAACAAGAAGAATAGAAGAGGAAGAAAATTACGATGTCATAGTACCGGCAAATGTAGTACCAGCATTGCGAGCATAAAACTCCACGAGCCCGTAATTAAAAATTAATTAGTTCAGTTATAATAAGACTAAGCCAAGGCATTAAACACCTCGTCGTAAGAATATGAAAATTAATTTAGTTCATTTATTATAATGTCAAGCCAAGGCATTAGGCACCTCGTCGTAGGAATATGATCGGCTGGGGTAGCCGACGATGCGGTCTGGGAAAGTCTTCCAGACGCTGAAGGCGAAGTCGAGCTCGTCAGCAGTGAGGAGGGCGTCTTCGTCCAGCGAGAAGACAGCCTCCGTGGTCACCTCCGGGCGAGGGAAGTGGCGGTGTGAGGGTGACGGGGTGGGGGGCAGCAGGAGGACCAGAGGGACAGAACCCGAGGGGAGGCGGCCGGGGTTGGGGAGGGGATGAGTTCGGCTCCCCCACAGCACCACGATCTGGGGAGTGAAGGATTATTAGATTAATAATATTATTAATTAATTATTAGGATTATTAGATCAATAATTAGATTGCACATAGATTAATACTTCAAAATATTCATATATAGTACGTAAATAATTCACGAGATAGACACACGAGATAAATGCAGAATAATTTGTTGGGTAACAGACTCGATTACTATGATGGACCAAACGTGTAATCAGAGTGTCTGGAGAATAAACATAGATTAATAGTTCAAAGTATTCCCACACCTATAGCACGTAAATAATTCGCGAAATAGACACTCAAAATAAATTCAGGATAATTTGGAAACAGAAATGTTAGGGAACAGACTCGATTAATATGATGACCAAACATGTAATCTCAAAGAGTGTAGAGACGACGATGGTGAAATAATGTGGGAATATCCTTGAATAAATTTGCTACAAGAACAATATAATATGCATTAATACAGCTCATGCCACATGCCTTGTGGACATGCTTGGCCCTGGCGATGTTCCTGACGAGGACGTACAGAGGACTGGAGTGTAGGGCGGCGCCGCTAGCGCCCTCCGTCACGAACACCACCGCCGTGAACCTGCGTAAGCAAGGCGAGTCGTGAGTTATATTAACAGAGTATTATTTATATATAGAGTATAAACAGAGTATTATTTATATATAGAGTATAAACAGAGTATTATACCACCGCCGTGAACCTACGTAAGCAAGGGAGTCGTGAGTTATAAGCATGATATTACTAAGGAATGTTTCAAACGACAGGTTACATGTTGCCGACATGCAACGACATGAATACTCCATGCTGACATGTTACAAGTCAAACAATTAAACTGGCCAGAAATTATATCAAATAGGCGTTTTATTCAGTGCGCCATCTTCCAACAAGATAATGCCTCAATCCATACGGCGCGCACGACCAAGGCCTTTTTCAAACGTACCAAGATCCGGGTTATGGACTGGCCAGCCAAGTCCCCCGATCTGAATCCCATTGAGAACGTCTGGGGGTACATGGCTGGGATCGTCTACGCCTGCGGGAAGCAGTATGACACGAAGGAAGAACTCAAGTTGGCCATTCAAACCGCCTGGTCCAATCTGGACCCCAACTACCTCCGTAGATTGTCTCAGGGCATGAAAAAGCGGTGCTCGGATGTCTACAAAGCCAACGGAGAGCATATCGGTAAATAACCTTTAGTTTTGCAGCTGACGTATGTTTTTTTTGCCTAAAATGTCAAAGTGTGCAAAGTGGGGCTAACCTTTTGCGTCGGTGCAAAAACATGTGTTTTTCATTCTCTCCGTTACTAATCACATTTTCACTACAGTCTATTGTATTTTGATTGCTGAGACCAAGACGATTCGTTTGCCACAATCTGCACAATAAAACTCGCAAAACTCGATGTGTTATGATGTTTTAAAGGGGTGGGGCTAACCTTTTGCGTCGGGCTGTAGACACACGAGATAAATGCAGAATAATTTGTTGGGTAACAGACTCGATTACTATGATTGACCAAAAATGTAATCAGAGTCCCTGAAGAATAAAAGTAGAGTAATACTTCAAAATATTCATATATAGCACGTGAAAATTCACTAAATAGAAACACAAGATAAATTCAGAATAATTTGTAAACAGAAACGTTAGGAATCAGACTCGATTTATATGATGACCAAACATGTAATCTCAGGGAGTGAGTGTAGAGACGACGATGGTGAAATAATGTGGGAATAACCCTTAATAAATTTGTTACAAGAACAATATAATATGCATTAATACAGCTCATGCCACATGCCTTGTGGACATGCTTGGCCCTGGCGATGTTCCTGACGAGGACGTACAGAGGACTGGAGTGTAGGGCGGCGCCGCTAGCGCCCTCCGTCACGAACACCACCGCCGTGAACCTACACAAGCACGGAGAGTCGTGAGTTATAAGCATATAATATTACTAAGGAATGTTTCAGACAACATTTTACAATTGGAACAATTAAAGTGGCCTGAAATTATATAAAATGAGCGTTTTATCCAGGCAAGAGCATGATATTACTGGTGAATACCTCAAACGAGATGCCAAGCCAAAATCTTACAAGTGTAACAATTAAACTGGCAAGTGAACAATTAAACTCATCTTACAAGTGAAACAATTATATTATTAAACAATTAAATAGGCGTTTTATTCAGGCAATCTCTTAATGCTGAAATATGTCTACATTTTATTTGATTTTCAATCTCATACTTTACGTGGCGGTAAAGACTTGTCAACAGTGCACATTAAGACATCATTTAAAAACCTATTTTGCACGTCTACCGGCGGCCAAGTGAAACTAAATAAGTAAGAAATTAAATTCTACATCTTGTGTTCCAGTTGTACAATACTTCGCTCAAACTATTGTTGTTCGTCTCACTATTTACTTCAACGGAGAGTGACAGACAAAAGACAGTGACAGATAAAAGACAGTGACAGACAAAAGACAGCGACAGAAAAAAGACAGTGACAGAAAAAAGACAGTGACAGAAAAAAGACAGCGCCCGTTCTCCCGTACATTACAGGCGTCTCTGATATCCTAGTGATTATATATAATAATCCCTCTCTGATATCCTAGCCTGATATCCTAGCCAAAAGACTCACTTGTGAGCAAGACTCACTAGCCACAAGACTCACTAGCCAGCAAGACTCACTAGCCACAAGACTCACTAGCCACAAGACTCACTACCCACAAGACTCACTAGACACAAGACTCACTAGCCACAAGACTAGCCACAAGACTCACTTGTCAGCGAGGTGTGGGGAGGCATAGAAGGGGAACAGGTTGAGGTTGTCTAGCCACAAGACTCACTTGTCAGCGAGGTGTGGGGCGGCATAGAAGGGGAACAGGTTGAGGTTGTCAGAGTACGTGAGGTTGACACACAGCGCCCCAGGGTGGCTGTTCCACACGCTCAGGGCGCGCGGTCTGTGTCGCATCACGCGCTCGTGAACCATCTGCGTAAGTGACATTAAATAATTATAATACAGTTATAAATTGTACAGTTATAACGCATCTCAGTTATGCATGCGCTTATTAAGTTAAGTGATATTATGTAATTATAATACAGTTATATGTGATGCAGTTATAATGTACGCATCTCAGCCATGCATGCGCTCCGTGAGTAATGCCACGCCTATAAAACTAATTCATTGTGATTGTATGATTCACATTTAATAATGCTTTCGAGTCCAAAACTTACCGGTACACTAGAAGATTGACATACTGATTACAATACTTCTTGAACTATTTCACCAAGATAATAATTAATATGATGACGAATATTTCAGATATTGTAGCACTGCGATGATGATAATGATACGTCAGAAAAATAATTCATTGTGATTCTTTGATTCACACTTAATAAGGCGTTTGAGTCCAACACTGTAATGAAGTGTTGCTGCAAATTTTCCACTACTGTATGTCAGACTACGAAGTTTAAGTAGGACCGACTCTGACGTCGGTGTTAGGTTCAGTATAGCCGTCAGATACTATGCCGATCCCGACTTGCGTCCTGGTTCCTCTCTTATAGGATTTTGACTCAGACGCCAGGGTGAGTTGTGTGCTATAGTGGTGAAATCTAGCTTGATATACTTGATGGAATATAGTGATTTTTGTGTATATATGACTTGTTATGCGTAGATATTTACTCTCTGTTTTCTGTTGTAGGATCGTGCGTTATTCTCGGATCTCAATGCTCTAGCTCTCTCCTCGCATTTTGCTCTCATCGCACTTTAACTTCCTCCGCATTTAATTTGTTATTTCGTTTAACTCATATGCCGCACCTGTTAGATTTGTTTAGTTTCAATTTGCCGTTTATCTTTAATAAATAAATTTAAGAAAGTTTGTTCGAGTAACTATCCGCTCCGTCCAAGCTCTTGCTGGTAAAACCAATAGGGAAGTTGCATTTAATTTCCGGTCATTGGTGGACGTGACAATTAGACCATCCGAACTTTGAGGTGACGCGATTAATTAGCTATTATTCAAGATTAGTTCTTCACAAACACTTACAGTAGAAGATTAAAATACTGAATACAATACAATACCACCAAGAAATGTGATGACTAATATTTCAGATATTGTATCAGTGCGATGATGACCTGTAGTGTGGTGTAGACTATGCTGCTGACGGAAGAGAAGTATTGGTTGTAGAGCAGCTGTGACTGCTGCTTCATGCGTAGCACCGTTGCCGCGTCCACTGACCGCACCAGTTCAGGCACCTGCAAATGCACCTCAAGTTAACCATGCATTCGGTAAATAACTAATTGATTCTTAAAAATGCACTTCAAGTTAACCATGCATTCGGTAAATAACTAATTGATTCTTAAAAATGCACCTCAAGTTAACCATGCATTCGGTAAATAACTAATTAATATGCATTCTTAAAAAGTAATTCCAAACTTGAACTACGTTCAAGTATCAAAATCCTCGTAGGTAGCCGAGATGAAAGAAAAGTCAATGTAATTTTTCTAGAGTAATAAGATCACGATTAGAAGACGAAATAGTTTAGATTGATTGCCTAACTAATAGTTTCGAAAAGTAATCTTTAAAAATACGAAGACAAGTACAATAGGATAATAAAAGTACAATGATAATTGAGATTGATTGTCTAAGTTTCGAAAAGTAATCTTTAAAAAATTCGAAGACAAGTACGATAGGATAATAAAAGTACAATGAAATGAATAACAATAATGAAGGCACGGGCATCCTTCTTGCGAAGACCATGAGAGCGACAGTTGAGCAAATCTTTGCAGCCCAGCAGATGCATTCAGTCACGAACTAGAGAGACGGTCGCACGGCATGGCCATAAAAACAACGAGACGCGAGGCTAGGCATGAAACTGCACGTTACGGGAGAGGGAGTGAGGGGAAGAGGAAGGGAGTGAGGGGAAGAAAAAAGGAGTGAAGGGAAGAAGAAGGGAGTGAGAGGAAGAAGAAACGAGTGAAGGGAAGAAGAAGGAAGTGAGAGGAAGAAGGCAGTAGTGCACTCAAGTGAAAAAAACAGGGGGAAGCAAATTCGAAGCAAAGTATTTGGATAATACCGGTAATGTACTTACGAAAAGATGTATAAAAATGAAAATGATGAATAAAGTTCACAGTTCATCAAAACGATGACAGTCGAAGATCTCATCTGAACAAATAATCACAAACAACAACTGCTGATATCATTTAGAAGGAGCAGATCTAATACCTGCCTGAAATATTATCAACAATTGACTAACGTCCCTTAACTTTGGTACAAAACTAACAATAACGGCAATAACGAATAAGAAAAATAATCAAGAGAAGGAAGATAGAAGCCTGACCTGCAGAAGCAGTCTCTCGTCGGCCTGCAGAGTAGCAGCAGACCAGTCAATAAGCTCAGCGAAGGGCAGCTCCCAGCCGTTGGCGAGCAGCACGGGCACGCACCCTGCACTCAGCACCTCCAGGAACCTGAAGCTGCCCAGACGTCGGCCGCGTGGCACCAGGCAGAACGTGGCGTTACGCAGCAACTCTTCGTAGTCCCATCTGTACAACAAGTGTGTTACTCAGGTGGTGTTGTGTACTGTATATGGCAATACATGTATGGTCATACCACGTGGCGTTACGCAGCAACTCTTCGTAGTCCCATCTGTACGACAAGAGTGTTACTCAGGTGGTGTTGTGTACTGTATATGGCAATACATGTACGTATGATTAAACCTTGTTCCAACATAGCAGGATTAGCATGCCAACAAGTGTGTTAGTGAGGGGGTGTTGTGTACTGTATATATGGGCAATACATGCATGATAGCTTGTTCCAACATAGCAGGAAAAGCATGCTTTTTACCGCCCAATACAAACAGTTTTACTGCAAGGTAACCTGATAAATTACGTTCTGTGGGAACAAAATTGGCACAGGACGAATCAACGGTTATTGATTGAATTAGGTAAAAATACATCCAATATTGTGTTCCTAAAAATCGTGAATTGAATTATAAACTTGTGAAAAAAAATAGCTTTGCAGTTTGGTGTAAAAAATGACCGAGGTTACGCCATCGAGACATGACTAGCCGTTCATCTTCCGCGACGAGCCTGGATCCATGCAAGGTAAATAGTAATTAAGTACTCACTGCATGTTAAGAGACATGAAGTCAATTAGAGCCGCAGAAACGTGTTGGGCACTGTTGGCAAATGGGTTCATTACGAACCGTCGTTCACCATTAACATTTAATATTGACGCAATTTGCTGAGAATACTGAGCGAACAATAGTACATAATTTGAAAAAAGATCGTTGAAAGCTGCATTAATGAGTTCCATCAAGAAGTCAGTAGCGTTCTAGCTTTTCAGCTAGAAAAGTCTTGACTACAGCCAAAAGATCGTTAACCTCCTATGCGAGAAGTTCGTTATTCTCCTATGAGAGCAAAGCTGTGGGCTGAAAGAACCACAATACCTTCAACAATACAACCCTTGACCTCCCCACGCCCGCTTCACGTTATTATTCACTCCTAAAAAGAGCAGTTGATGTTCGTTGCTGATTAAGTGGAAAGAACGGTCAATATTTAACTTCGTGATGCGCAAAGGAGATACATTCTTTCCGCACTAGGAAAGAAAATGAAGGGGGTTAGGTTGGTTGGCTGGGTTTTCAATAAACAATTTTTTTGAATGGAAATAAGTTGAAGTAAGTCCTGATATATTAAGAAACCAAACAAGAGTATTCCAGTACAGAAGGAGACGGTGTGATAGAAGTAACGTGCCTAATAAGGGAACCCAAAGGCGGGTCCGTTGGACACACCATTGAGTGAATGAGATGCAGAGTAAAATACCAGAACCGATCATCAATATGATAGCAAAGTAACACGACGAAGTGGTGAGTGGAAAAATAACGTTTAAAAATTTAACGAAATTATAATAAATGAATTTAAATTATGTTTAAACTATAAAGACACAAAATTTATGATATTGGGAAAGAGAGAAAACATAAGAGGAAACATGGCGCGTGAATTAGCGACATTCCAAGAACACTTCATATCGTCTCGAGTCTTCAGTTTTCGGCAGCTTTATTTTTTCCTGGATACCGGTACCCTCGATTTTTTTCTTGCATTGAGGAATCAGCAAGGGAGGAAAGTGCGCTAAAGTTTCCGAAGTTTCATCGTTATCTTGGACGAAGAAAAATCGACTTGCGAGAGTTTGATTGGCGACAAAACGCATCGCAAAACACCTAGAATAAACACAAATATTTGTGTTGCTGAAACGTAACACTACGAAACGGGGCGAAAGTAAGAATGCCTGCGCAGTTTTGAAACATTTAGGGCTCCTTATCAACATACTTTAAGAAATAGAATTCCAAACGCTCATACTAGATGACGCATGCTAAAAAAATAGCGATTACTCAAATGGTAAGATTTTTCAACATATGCACACATATACAGTAGTACTCAAAATGATACGATTTCCAAGTGCTTGACAAGAGAACACAAATAATTAACCAAAAAAACATAAGAGATTGAAAATAATAACAATAAAAATAACAAAATAAATAAAAAGCTAAAGGTATCTTCATCCGTGAAGCAATCATTTTTTACGTTCACCAGCCATGCAGTCTAGCGCCGCGCGGATGACACAATAAATAATTAAGGTATCAATAAGTGCATAGATAGAGGAGAGACCTCATCACGGTGGAGATCTCATATTGCTTGCAAAGGAAATAGCGTGATGGTTAATACGCCACGTCACGCCACTTGAGATGACGAGCGCACTATTATATTGCCTTGACACAGCACTCAGCGTGATGTTTGTAATGGATAAGAAAATCACTGCACTCTTCTCTCATGTCATCATCATAATGGACCGAGGATGTAAATTGCATTATTGCCTTGGCACGCATGTTCATGAAGTGGTCATTATAAGCGGATATGGAATTAATGACTTCTTGATATTAGTATAGCATAACTTAACGAAAACTATTATACAATAGTTAATATTCGTCCTTGGATGCGACCGAACACGTCAATATAGCAGTTGTCACTGAGAACAAAACACTTTAAGATAACTACTGCGTGTATTACTGGTACAATTAATTAGAGCCTTAATATTCTACATCACTTCATTTTAATGGACATTGCTGCATCAAGTTAACTTCGTTCGAACTTGTCACTCGGAGTGAGGAGTTTTGGACGAGGCTTTGGCTCAAGGAAATTAATTAGATTTCGTTAAGTGGAGAAGGCAGCAACCCGAAAGGTTTTCGTAGTGTCGTCGCGTGCTCAATACAGTAAAGTTGCTGAAGAAAGTCCAGCGTATGAACCCTCATTAGCTAAAGGAAACACGATGTTACGGAGCCGCTGATAAGTCACAACTTGAATACACCAAGAGACAACGCATAAATAAGGGTTAATGTTAGTGCACGCTTCTTCACTGGGTATTGAAGCAATGCATCTATATAGAATATATAGAGGAATCAAATCTGAACTCAATCGGTTATGGCCATTATAATGAGTCTGAATGGGAGGAAGGGCGACATGTCGGAAATTAATTCGCAACAAAATAAAAGTATTTCATCTCTTACGTCAACGAAAGCTTAGGAAGTCAAAGAAAATACCTATCTTAGTTTGTTTCCTAGAATCTAATTATCTAATTAAACTTTACAGAAAAAATAGACTCTTTATATATTTCCACAAATTATGGAAAGGCATATTTTTCAACAAGGATTTGGAGTTAAAGAATATGAAAAATTTGCTACGTTACAAATACTGTTTGAATTATGATCGATCTCAACATGAACCAATCTTAGAACAGAATTACAATACAAAACTTTAACACAAAGTGCAGAACTAAAGTGTGCAACAGAGATTGCCGATCTCATCGTCTCTGAGGTGAACCACGGCTTGAAACTCACTGCAGTTTCTGGCACCGTACGAACAGGAAAGTTAAGTAAACAAGCCTGAACCTTTTCTCGTGGCATCAATGTCTGTAAACTGTGAAGCCGGCAATTCTTTCATTATAACAAATCAACGTAAATAAATTTGTTTGTTAGAATAAATTATTTACGAAGCAACGTTAATAAAATTGTTTATCGAAACAAATTTATTTACGAATCGACGTAAATAAATTCAGGCCACCGAGAAGCGAATGGTAAGTTGAAGTGCAGTGTTACAGCCCAAACCCATTGATGCATAATTTGAGAGCAGTGTTCGAAGTAAAAACTCACTTAAACTTTTCGGTTAAATAGACTCGGGATAAAATAGATGAAGCCAAATGAAAATTCTAAGCTAGTGCTCCTCGAAAGGAGATAAATAAAGATAAAAGCGTGCAGCAAAATGTGAAAATTTTAAAAACTGAAAATAATCCAGACTTTGAAAGGGATAAATGTACGACCTAAAAAGGACTAATCATTGAGTAGTTCACAATCAGCAAAAAATCGGCAAAAGAACGGATTAATAATGAAGCCGTTCAGAGACGCGAAGCTAGAATTTATGATCAATTCCGCAACAAGAGCAAGACGGAGCAGCGAGAGATCACAGGGCTGGGCTGCCTTGTATTGTATAGGTTGTCTCACTTATTCAAAAGGTCAGGCATCCTTAGAAGGCCAACAACATCACCTAGCAGCGGCTGTAGTGCACCATCAGCACCAGCACTACCTATGTTAGTGAGCACCAGCACCGGCTAGTGAGGACCAGCACCAGCATCAGGCCAGTGAGCATCAGCATCAGGCCAGTGAGCACCAGCATCAGGCCAGTGAGCATCAGCATCAGCATCAGGCCAGTGAGCATCAGCACCAGCATCAGGCCAGTGAGCACCAGCATCAGGCCAGTGAGTACCAGCACCAGCATCAGGCCAGTGAGCATCAGCACCAGCATCAGGCCAGTGAGCACCAGCATCAGGCCAGTGAGCACCAGCATCAGGCCAGTGAGCACCAGCACCAGCATCAGGTTATGACGACTGAACTCTGAACACTCTGCATGTCCACAGACTGAACGGCTTTCCTGAAAATATCAGACACTGGCTTCTGATGCATGAGTTTCGGCTCTGCGGATATTAATTTTAAAAGTTTCTTTTAAGGTAGACTCGTTTCATTGACTCAGATCAGTCAATATTAACATCGGAGCAGAATTGTCTCACATATGACGAATTACAACAATCAAACGGTAATCAAGTGAACAATAACTTTGAAAAAATCCTGTTTCTAAGACATGCTTAGATTTGGTTTAAATCAAATAGTCAACTTTTTAATATTTTCCTTTCTTCCCTCGCTCAATCGCTTCACTTTACTGCCAAATAGACGTGCTTTGCGATTGTCAAATAGTGCGCAAATTGTGAAACAAGTCGTGATTAGATGACGTATAATTGTTACCAAATGTCTCCGGAAAATAAAATATATCCTCTCTATATGTGGAAACTGGACAGATGCCACATTTCAAACTTGCGGCCAATTCAAAGCTTTGTGTGTACGTTAATTAATAATAAAAAGTCATATAAACCGCGGGAGTTAGAAAACATTAATTAAGGGTGTAAACAATGCATATACATAACTTGTAACAAGGACCCATCC